GGTCATGTCATGACCCAAATGGCCAATTCTCGACATCTTGCGTTGGCTATGGGCCTTGTGAGCTTTTGACACATTGATTTCGGCCTTTTTTACCAGTCTTACCTCCCACCTATCATGGAACATGTTGTTCGACGATGTACAGATGTCAAGGTCAAGGTCAAGGTTAACCTAGGTCATCTAAGATAATTGCGTTTTAGGCAAGCGGAATTTACTTTTTGTGAAGTTTTTTGACTGCATTTTTGGTAAAAGCTTCTCAGATCATAATTTCATGTAATATGGACACATAAACAATCGGTGCACACATCAGTATACACACAGACACACACAGACATACAAACACATATAATTGACCTTGACCTAACTTGACCTGAAATGACCTCAGCAGCAAAAACCTGGTCGGGTAGTGTGAGAAAGAGGTTCTAGCTGGCTTGGCACCAGAAAACGGCATCGTCATCGGTATATGATAAGCAGCGCACTTGATATCAAACGGTGACCCAAAACAGCAACATTTTTTAGTTTGACCTGACCTGGAAGGTCAATGACTGACCTGAGAAGGTTAAACTGGGTATCAGTGGATTTGTCTCTTCCCAAAGAATCTTTTTGGTCTTTACCGCTAAGCTCTATCTCCAACAGGAACGAAATGGCGCGGGGGGGTGGCACCCCCCCCCCCCATGTGCGTTATAGGATGGGAAAATGGCATGTGCGGGCGAGGGTTAAGGGTATGTGTAAAATTGAATAACGCGAGGGCTACTGAAAGTGTCGTCGCTATCGGCCGCTTTTTACGCGAGTTATTTGCGAAAAAAAACTTAGTTGGGGGTTGCATCAACCCCCCCCCCTGTGCCGGGGAGGGTTAAGGCTTATCTTATGTTAACCCTCGCCCGCACATGGGAGGGGATTAGTTCCCCCCAGATAGTTTTTCTGTTCTGCACTCAACATGTTTAGAGCTAGATGCCTGATTTTTCGTGTAGCTGCTCTTCTGTCCTTTCTTGATGTCCACTGAAAATATCAGGTTTCTGTGGTTCTTGGTGTCGGATTAATGACCTTGTTCTTCAGGTCATGTCATGACCCAAATGACAAATACCCAATATCTTGCGTTGGCTATGGGTATTGTGAGCTTTTGACACCTTGATTTCGGCCTTTTTTGCCAGTCTTACCTCCTTCTTATCATGGAACATGTTGTTCTACGATATACAGATGTCAAGGTCAGGGTCAAGGTCAATCTAGGTCATCTAAAAACATTGCGTTTAAGGCAAGCTAAATTCACTTTTCGTAAAGTTTCTTTGACTTTTTTCGGTTAGAGCCTCTCATTTCATGATTTCATGTAATATGGACACATAACCAATCGGTGCACACATCAGTATACACACAGACACACACAGACATACAAACACATATCATTGACCTTGACCTAACTTAACCTGAAATGACCTCAGCAGCAAAAACCTGGTCGGATAGTGTGACAAAGAGGTTCTAGCTGGCTTGGCACCATAATACGGCATCGTCATCAGTAGGTATATGATGAGCAGCGCACTTGACATTCCAACGGTGACCCAAAAGAGCAACATTTTTTAGTTTAACTTGACCTGGATGGTAAATGACTGACCTGAGAAGTTAAAACTGGGTATCATTGGATTTGTCTCTTCCCAAAGAATCTTCTTGGTCTTACTGCGAAACTCTATCTCCAATAACAAAAACGAAATGGCGCGGGGAGGGGGGGGGGGTGTCAACCCCCCATGTGCGTTCTAGGATGGGAAAATGGCGGTGCGGGCGAGGGTTAACCTTCCAGGCGGTGGGGGGCATTTTTTGCCCCCCCCCCCCCTTTAGTTTTTTTGATATATCTCGTGAACCGCTGCGCCGATCGTCACCAAACTTTCAGTACCTTCCCGGGAGTAGGGGAGAGTGGGGATAACTGGGACGCGGGAGAAGTGGGACACCTTCAATATCTTAGTGACCGATTGAACAAACAATTTTGTTTTTGCATATTTTCTCATGAATTTAGTCGGGGCACGTCTCAGCCAAGCGGTTTCCTTTTCCGGTTGCCTGTCTCTGAGATATTGAGTTAGGGTCTAAAATGTGATTTTTGGCATTTTACTCAAATTCAATTTGCCGCTTATTCAGCGATGTGAAATGTTCAGGCCGTTCACCTTTGGATATCAGTGAAGTCATCTTAATTGTGCAGAAACACTTTTTTATGTATCAGTTATACTTTTTGTGTGGGAGAGCAGCTGAAATAAAAATGACGACTTGGGGAGAGCTGGGACAACGTGCCTAAACCATGTCCCAGTTATCCCGCATGCAAATGCATGAGAATTTTTCCAGGATACTCAGTGCTGTCAGTGTAATTCAAAAAAGATAATCGAGGTGATTTCTTTAGGTGTCAACTTTAAAAACACCTTCTTCTTCGTGATGGGTCATCAAATTTTTATTGTATTCCATTTAAATCACATTTCTCGACCAGTCCCAGTTCTCCCCATCATCTGTCCCACTTCTCCTGGACGTGTCCCAGTTCACCCCATTGTCAACCTTTCCTAAAATTTAAATTTGAGAAGTAACACGTGAACAAACACGCATAAAAACAGAAAGAATGAAGAAGTATAAACCGTTTACCAGTAAATGCAATCAATTTGCTTAACCAGCGCACCGACGGGGGGGGGGCGGATATCCGCCCCCCTTGAGGTTTTTCGCAAATAGCGGGAAAACCGCGGCGCGTAGCGACGCGAAATTTTGTACGACTATTCCCTCATCAATTTTACACATGGTGGGCAAGTTTGAACCTCCTACCTTTTAAGGTCAGGTCACCAGGTCACTTTGAATGACCCAACCTCAAGTCACTTTTTTGCAACTTTGTTACCGTGCCAGAGCTACAGTAGATGTCGGAGGCCTTTGAAAGTCGCAGCATGTTATAAGGTCATTAGTAGCTACAATTTGTTTATCTCGGAATTTTGATATCGGTGACCTAAGGTCAGGTCAATTTCGCGACCTCCCCATTATAAGTCAATGGGGGAAAAATCAACTCCCTATTTTTACCACTAAAACGGGTCGGAATGGCCCCATATACCATACATGACTTCATATACGATCAACCTTTACTACGTTGAGGTCTGTTTTGCTGTTGGGCAGCTGTGAGGTCATATGACGTCATCAAAGGTCACCAAAGGTTTTTGGCCAATAACTCCGTACAGGAACAAGATACAGCCGCGTGGATGGTCTCATTGTGTTCAGCTCGTCAAGACGCATCGAATGATATACATGATGACCTCGAGGTCACGTGACCTGAGGTCAACCTTTGACCTTGACCTTTCGAGGTCAACATATATATCATTCGATGCGGATTGACGAGAGGAGAGGATCACGATGGTGCCCTTAGTTTGCTCCTATCTTGACTAATTCGAAAGTTATTCGAGAAAAACTCTCCATATCTAGCGCCGCCATTTTGAATTTTTCGACCCCTGTGACGTCATCTTTGACCTGACCTGAAAATGACCTTTGTAAAAATTGTAGATCTTGACCGTGCATATCCGATGCCGTTTACCGCTTGTCGCTATCTTGCTTCGTTCTCGAGATCTCAGGGGGGGGGGGGCGGTCATCCGCCCCCCCCGTCGGTGCGAAGCTGGCGCAGACCCCCGTCGGTGCGCGGGTTAAATCTTTAATATTCTATTTTTTACGATTTTTCAAAGTTGACGTCAAAATATTGTCCCACTCCTCTCCAGTCTCCCCTAGCTAGCGCACATGGTGATTAAATTTTTTCCAAAGATTATGATAAGTTGGCCGCTAATGACGTCAGAGTGACGTCATTTTTGCCATTTTCGACCCAAAAAAAGGTTTCGCGGGAAGAGCTGTCAGGCCTACAGCTTTAGAGATACAGAAAAATGTTCAAGACATAAAAAGTGTGGAATCAAGAGGACTACAAAACTACTACTTCGGTTTTTCAATTTTTTTTAGATTTTGACCCCCAAAAATCAAAAGAATAGATTTTTTGAAAATAATAGCCGAAAAATCCAAAGTTTTTTGAATTTCGAAAAACTGGAATATATGTGATAGTCCCTACCGCCTTATATCTACATACCAAATTTGAGATCTATACCTCCTTTTTTGGCCAAGTTATAGCGAAAAAACTGTTCAAAATTGATGACGTCAAATTTTCAAACTCAATTTTTAGCAATTCTAGACCTTGTAGCGCAAAACAAAGACCACCATTAGACTCCCCGTGACAAGCTGCATCGAATCGATGCCCATTTTATGCAAAAATATCAAATTTAAAATTTAACTTTTTTAACCTGACCTTGACCTGACCTCCACCAGAAACTGACCTAAACCGTACCTGATGGTCTTGTAACCAATACCATTGAGTTGGAAATGAAAAACTGGCCATAAAACATGCATCGCACAACCTTAGTAAAGTTGGGTTAATGTGGTGACCCTTGGTGACCTTTGGTGACCTGACCTGTGACCTGACCTGGTATGACCATTGACCAGTGACCTCTAATAGCAACATATGTACTAGACAACTGACGCCTTATCGCTGATTTTCGACAAAATGCGTTTTACTCGGTGTTATAGCGCTTTCCCTAGAAGCCCCGTGAACGGTGAAACATTTTATCTTTGACCTGACCTGTGACGTCATCGGTGACCCCGAGGTCAATGAAATTGGGTTTCCTTCGACAAATTTGACAGGGCTATCGAACGCCGTTTGAATTTTCCGGATCCGTCTAGTAGTTTTGGAGATACGAGGGGGGGGGGGCAAAAAAATGCACCCCCACCGCGCTGAAGGTTGCTGGGAGGCCCACCGCCTGCCGGGTTAAGGTGGGAGAGTTCCTTTAAGCGTAATGTGTGGATCACATAGGACAAAGAGTGTTGTGTTGCAGTGTATCACATTTGGTAGATTTGTACTGCCCTTTATGCCTTAGTAGACCGGCCGCTACTGGATAGCTAAGTTACTAACTGGGCCTTTTGTGTCACAAATTATTGCCCAAAACAAACTCAGCACGTTTCTTCTTCAGTTCATAGGGACATCAAGCCATCGAACATTTTGCTGGTTAAGAACAAGAGAGGTGAAACCGTGGCTAAACTCGCCGACTTTGGCGTATCCAAGGACCTGACAACGAGCAAATGGACAATGTCTGGTACCGTCGGCACTCAAGGATGGATGGCTCCGGAGGTGATTGCGGACGAGCAGGAAACTGTAAGTACCCATACACTGAGAGAGAAAATTATCAGGGGTATACCAGCCCTCGACACTTACAAGGGTTTGACCAGGTCGATACCAGGGGTCAGACTAAGTGACCCTCTGGTACCACTTTAGTTTCTGCTAGTAAAAGTTACCATCCCCACCTGGTAAAAGCTGACACTAAGGGGTTACCAGGGGTCACGCTGTCAGTGGCCTTAGTAACGGTTTAGTCAATTCGTTTCGGGAGCAATGCCATCTGGCGGCAAGGTACACAGCCCGGCCGGCGCAGTTTGCCGCTAGAGGGCAGGACGTTAACGTCGGTAACATACGAATTTAAGTCAAGCTCAATAAATTTAACAAGAGTGATTACAAAGCCACAATTATAGCAGGAAATGTTGGCGAAAGTCTTAAGAAACCCGACTCAGTCATTTGAGTTTACCTTTCGGTCAGCATTAAGCCCTAGTGGCTAGTAATCGATACCGTGCGAAACTTACAAGCGAATTGCGTTACGTAATGTTTTATATAAGTGGCCACCAGTACTACTGCATGCAGGTCACAAATTAACCCTCGCCCTGGCAGGGCATTTTTCATAACACGGCCTGGCAGGGGGGGTCAATGCGACCCCCCTCGTGATTAGCTCCTATGGCACCTAGAAACACCAAATTTGGTAGGTAGGTGAACCCTCTGGAGTTCTCGCCCCTGTGCAAATTTGGTTGCTCTAGGTCAATATTTAGGGGGGTTTTGAGGGGTATAAATGTAAAAATTTCGCTAAAAACAGGTCAAAAGTTTTTCGCTTATAACTTTTGATTTAATTAACCCGCGCCCCACTGGGGTCTGCGTATAACACGCCCTACTGGGGGGGGGGGGGGCTATTCATAGCCCCCCTCCAAACTCCAAAACTACTGGGCCGATCGTCAAAATTCAAACGGCGTCTGATAGCCCCGGAAAAAAACTGTCGAGCGAAACCTAACTTCATTGACCTCGAGGTCACCGATGACGTCACAGGTCAGGTCAAAGTAAAAATTATTAGCATTTTGGCTTGTTCACGTTTTGGGCCCTGGCCGCCGTCTTACAAGTCAGATCAGGCTCATTTTTGGATCACACACTCGGGAACAGATGCTCTAGTTACCCTGAGGGTACCAAACTTGTACTTTGATTTTCAGGTCAAGGTCAGGTCATCACAGGTCACGAAAATATTATATCATGCGTCGGTCGCGTGACACATGTTTTATGGTCCATTTAGGTCAGAGATTTCGAATTTGATGTCGTCTGTGTCATTCGAGGTCATTTTTAGTCGAATTTAGCTTATGTTTCAGGTCACTTTCAGGTCAAAAAAGGTCAAATTTTGAAGTTATAATTTTTCAACAAAAAAGTTGTCTATTGGATGCAGTTTACGCTCAGGAACATGATGGTGCTATTTATATTGGCGTACGATGTCAAATACGTGGTGAAAAATTGATTTGAAAAATTAATAATTGTGATTTTTTTGCAATAATGCGTAAAACTTGGCAATTTGTTAAGATATTTAGCTAAAACTTGCTAGAGTTAGTCATAATAAGGCGTTCTATCACATATATTCCGTTTTTTTCGAAAAGTTAAAAACTTTTTGAAAAAATGTAAAAATATAAATTTTGGATTTTATTATATTAAATTTTCCAAATTTTCAAAATTTTGAGAATCCGAGATAGCAGTTTGATAGCGCAGTCTATCCTGAGTCCTCTCATGCAAATAAATTGGATCTAGCTTAAAAACTGGGCTTTTGGGAGCGATTGCCGTGGTTCAATGTATTGCGTCGAAATCGGCCGAACATGACGTCACTCTGACGTCATTTCCGGCCGACCTATAGTAGGTACGAAGTTCAAATTTTGCCGCAAGGTGTTAAATTGATGCAGTCTAAGGTACTGAAAGTTTGGCGTCGATACGTCAAGCGGTTTGGAAGTTATTGCAGAAAAACGGGAGGGGAGGCTATAAATAGCCCCCCCCCCCCCAGTGGGGCGCGGGTTAAGATAGAGCAAAAAGAAAAGCACCAGTGAACTCAGCACGTCCAGGCGCGTCGAATGATATACTTTTAAGCTTGCTTAAGTGTACTTAAAGTTTTTCTTAATTTTTAAGGAAACTTTAATTAATTAATTAAGTTTAGGTTAACCAAATTGCATCACATTGAATATCATTCGATTCGGCTGATCACCAAGAACACAATGACATCATTTTTTAAGCTCTAGCGTCATTATGTGCCAAGTTATTGACAAAAACGTCATTTGACCTCAGTTGACCTCATTTGACCTGACCCATGGATAAGTTCACCAAACAAAGAAGCACCAAGTGACCTGCTGTTAACCCGCGCTCCAGTGGCGGTCTCAGCCAACTTCGCCCTAGTGGGGGGGGGGCATATGTTACCACCCACCTCTAACTCAAAAACTAAGAGGGCTAGAAAGACGCGGTAAAAAGCAGTCGATAGCTCTCAATGCGTACGTTTGAAAGTACTTCGGTCATCTTTCACCTTACAGCAATATTGGGGTCACCAGAGGTCATCAAAGGTCAAAATTTGCCAATTGTCATTATATTTTTCAGAAAACATGCCGCTATCTCAGGAACTATGGTAGCTAGAAAAACGCATGGAAAAGCAATCGATAGCTTTTGAACTCTTCTTTTGAAAAGGTCATTATCAATATTGACCTCAGGTCAACGGTTTAGCTTCCAGAGGGCAAAAACACCAAAAATAGCTGTTTTTACGAAAAGTGTTTTTCGACAATAACTTTCGACTACAAAAAGCCAAGACATTTCTATTGCCACAATCGTATTCCCCTCGCCGAAACGCGTCGAATGAACTATAATTTGACCTTGAACGGTCAACTTGAAAATTTGACCTCAGGTCAAAGTCATGACCTGACCGGAAAAGGTCATATTGCATAGCAGTCGATGTGGTTCAACAAGACAAACACAATGAGACCATCCCCAGCGTTCTATCTCTTTCCAATCGCGAGTTATTGGCAAAAAACTGTTTGTAGCCTCAAATGACCTCGGATGACCTTTCTAGAGGCTATCAGCAAAAATGACACCTTGGTCATCACGAGTGGACTAAATCATTGTGATTCTGAAATATTTGGACTGTTCCTATGCGTACACACGGATCTAGAGGCATTTTCATTTTTCTCCATTGACTTGTAATGGAAAAGTCCCGCCACTGACCTGACCCTACGTCACAGATATAAAAAATCCGAGATATAAAATTTGTAGGCGCCCATAACAGCATGTAGGTAATGCACCAAGTTTAAAACCTTTCTGACAAACACTGCAGGCTGGACATGATTGCAAACTTTTTTTAGGCTTGGTCAGTTAACTTGACCTGGTGACCTGACCTGACATGACCTGGGGTCAAAAATTTCACACAATGTCCAAAATTGATGTACCAAAAGCTACCGCAAGCGGCGCGGCGCTACGCGCCGCGGTTTTTTATTCACACGCAAAAAACGCGACAGGGTGGTAACATATGCCCCCCCCCCCCACTGGGGCGAAGGTTAAGTACAGTGGTTTCAAAGCACACAAGTGATAGAACGAAGCGGTTATCTCCAGTATTTTCCGAATTTAGTATTTTCCCATAGGCTTAACATTACGACGTAATGACCTATAACTGACCTCAGGTCAGTGACCTCAAAAAAAAAACCCGAACTATATGTTATACAACTCGGTGAACTTAGCACATCCTGAAAGTTTGAAGGAAATCAGTCCAAAACTGTGAGTTGGACAGGTGCAAAAAGAAAATTGAAATTTGACCATGACCTTGTACCGGTTTTTCTGACCTGGTGACCTGACCCAAGGTCACCCGGACCTGAAATTTTTAGGTCGTATGTAAAAAGGTTGCCCCATAGGCTGTGCCAAATTTGGCGGCGCTGCGCGCCGTGTAACATTGTCAGATGCTGTAGGCCATATGTCAGAGCTTGTACGACCGACGACCGAGGCGACCCCTACTCGGAGTCGTCGACTGCGCCGGCCGCCGCCGGGTGGTCAGTCGTGAATCGTCGGTCACTCGCTATGTGACCCAGTCTCTCTCGCTCTCGGTCTCTCTCCTGGACTCTCTCTATCTCTCTATCTCTCGTCTGTCTCGAGTCAAGAAATACAGTGAGGTGCCGAACTGAACTCTTTTTATCAAGAAGTAACCACTGCGAAAATTTTAATTTGTTACACGCCGCCGTTTTTATGCTATCTTCGAAAAGCCTTAGGGGGGGGTCGCATCGACCCCCCCCCCCGCCAGGGCGAGGGTTAACGGTCGTGTTAGATGTACTCGCTAATAGATATAAGGGCCTTAGGCAGGTGGGGATTACGTCAAAGTTTTTGGTGACTAGGGGGCTGGTATACCGGTGAAAGTAGTGACTAGGGGGCTAGTTACGCCATGATTGCTATAACCACCACCCCCATGGTAGGTAAGACCCTGGTTTAGGTTTAGTTTCTGCTAGGGTGGTGACCATCCCCATCTGGTAAAAAATGTCACTAAGGGGTTACCAGGGGTCGCGCTCTCAGTGTAATACCCGTTAATCATGGCTCACTGCTATACTCTCGTCATTGCTTGAGAACGAATTCAACGTAAACGTAGGAAGCCTGTGATTTCAGTGGTAGCTATTTTCGCGTCTAATGTCGACTACCTGTCCAGAAATGAATATGACCATGGTTGGAGAGGCAATTCTTAGTCAATGCATAATATGAGGATTCCTTGGCCAATATCATGGGGTGCATGGAATACGGCTAACTTTTTTTCTGGGTTTCATCCATCCAGCCAATTATTAGAATGTTTGCTTTTCAGCCTGGTGCGGCGGACGTGTTTTCCCTCGGCTTGGTCTTCTTCTACGTCCTCTCCAAAGGAAGACATCCATTTTTCAAAACTGCACGGCACATGAAGATGAACATTCGAGATGCAAACGCATGGTAAGTTACTGTAATGTTAACCCGAGACTACTTCGGGGGAGGGGGGGGCGCGTGTTTTTTTCACAGCTAACTCAAAAGTGGCCGTAAATTTCGACTCGCCGCTTTCAGTACCTCTTCGGACATCTATTTCACATAACTACCGAAAAAATAGGTCCTAGTTCATATCAGGTCAATAGTTACTTAACCCGGCAGGCGGGGGCCTCCCGGCCACCTTCCGCGCGGTGGAGGGAGGGGGATTTTGGCCCCACCCCGTATCTCCGAAACTACTGGACGGATCCGCAAAATTCGAACGGCTTCCAAAGCCCTGTCAAATTTGTCGAGGAAAATCCAATTTCATTGACCTCGGGGTCACCGATGACGTTACAGGTCAGGTCAAAGATCACATATTTTGCCATTCACGGGTCTTCTAGGGAATGCGCTATAACATCGAGTAAAACGCATTTTATCGAAAATCAGTGATAGGTCGTCAGTTGCGTAGTACATATCTTGCTATTTAACCCGCGCACCGACGGGGGGGGGGCGGATATCCGCCCGCCCCCCCCCCTGAGGTTTTTCGCGGATAGCGGGAAAACCGCGGCGCGTAGCGCCGCGAAATTTGGTATGACTATTCTCTCATCAATTTTACACATGGTGTGCAAGTTTGAACCTCCTAACTTTTAAGGTCAGGTCACCAGGTCACTTTGAATGACCCAACCTCAAGTCACTTTTTTGCAACTTTGTCACCGTGCCAGAGCTACAGTAGATGTCGGAGGCCTTTGAAAGTCGCAGGATGTTATTAGGTCATTAGTAGCTACAATTTGTTTATCTCGGAATTTTGATGTCGGTGACCTAAGGTCAGGTCAATTTCGCGACCTCCCCATTATAAGTCAATGGGGGAAAAATCATCTCCCTGTTTTTACCACTAAAACGGGTCGGAATGGTCCCATATACCATACATGACTTCACATACGATCAACCTTCACTACCTTGAGGTCTGTTTTGCTGTTGGGCAGCTGTAAGGTCATGTGACGTCATCAAAGGTCACCAAAGGTTTTTTGCCAATAACTCCTTACAGGAACAAGATACAGCCGCGCGGATGGTCTCATTGTGTTCAGCTCGTCAAGACGCATCGAATGATATACATGATGACCTCGAGGTCACGTGACCTGAGGTCAACCTTTGACCTTGACCTTTCGAGGTCAACATATATATCATTCGATGGGGATTGACGAGAGGATCATGATGATAACCTTAGTTTGTTCCTATCTTGACTACTTCGAAAGTTATCCGAGAAAAACCCTCTCCATATCTAGCGCCGCCATTTTGACTTTTTCGACCCCTGTGACGTCATCTTTGATCTGACCTGAAAATGACCTTAGTAAAAATTGTAGACCTTGTCCGTGCGTATCCGATGCCGTTTACCGCTTGTCGCTATCTTGCTTCGTTCTCGAGATCTCAGGGGGGGGCGGTCATCCGCCCCCCCCGTCGGTACTAAGTTGGCGCAGACCCCCGTCGGTGCGCGGGTTAACCCTCGCCCGCACATTGGGGGGGGGGGGGGATGGTTGCCACACACACCCCAGGTAGTTTTTCTGCTCTGCACTCAACATTTTTAGAGCTATAAGGCTGATGTTTCGTATAGCTGCTCCTCCATCCTTTCCTGATGTCCACTGAAAATTTCAAGTTTCTGTGGTTTTTGGTTTCTTCGGAGATATCACCTTGTTTTTCAGGTCATGTCATGACCCAAATGACCAATTACACTGAACAACAAAATTTGACTTTTGTCATAGTACAGAAAGCAGAATACCCATTTCTGTGGTAATTTGTGACGCTGAACGCGAATCTGGCATCAGAAATGGCGTATAAGGCTAGGTTTTTGAGATCCAGTATGTCTGTGTATCTGCTCTGAATGGCTATTTTCAACATTTCACTCTTCCTTTATATGACATTGCCGGTGACTCCGAATGAAAAAGCTCTGTGTCTGGGGTACCAGTATGTTCAATAAGTAAGTTCCGTTTTGATATAACTCGTTTATTTTTTGGCACATCTCAACCAAACATGGCTCACGGCTCGACGAACTCGCCCTGCAGGCGAACGCATCGTTCCCATCGCTTGGCCAGGTCCCGGACGGCCGCACGGAAGCTTTGAGTGGGGGTCTTTTCGCCATACTGGTAAATAGCAGACCCGAGTGCAGACCGCGAGCCGAACCTCCGGCCCCGGAGATTTTTATTCATGTCTGAGAACAGCCAATAGTCACTGCGTGCAACGTCTGGAGAGTAGGAACGGTGTTAGAGCACCTCGATGCCCTCTGCCTGCAAGGCATCCCTCGCCACGAGGGCACGGTGAGGAGGCGCGTAATCCTGGTGCCAGGATGAACCGACCACGGGCCTTCTCGGGGCGGCAACTGGCGATTACTGGCAGGAGATGGTCTCTAATGATTCTGGCGTAGGCTTATGTTTAGGGTTTCTGTTATCGCCTGGACAGTAATATTTCTGTTGGCCATCACCATATCCTCCACTTTGGCGACGTCAGTGGCTGTGACCATCGTCCTCAGCCTGCCTGCACGTGCCAGGTCGCGCACGCTCTCCCTCCCCTCCCCAAACTTTTTCTTCCGCTTCCGAACTGCGGAATCACTAAGAGCATGGCTCCCGTACACATTCACGAAGTTGGCGTGGATGTTAGCCGCCGGCTAGCCCTGGATAGCTAGGAATCGTATCACTGAACGTTGATCCTCTCGGGTGGCCGATGCCATTTCTAGAGCAGTAAAAAAAATGGTGTTATTTGATCTGCTCCATATCGTCACAGAAATGGAATAAGAAGCTGAAAATGCGGTCACTTCGACATAAAGGTCTGAATTCTAGTCCCTGAAAAAATCACGTGCGTAGACCGCGTGAATTTTATGTAATTGCTCTCCGGAACTTAGTTATTGAACGCACCTAGTAATTTAGGATGCAAAATACAAATCTGGCACTAGAAATGGGGTATCGACTATCGTGCTAGGTTTTGGCATTACTGCGTCCTTTTCTTAGGTGCATGTACTCAGCTTGTTATTCTGTCTTTATATTACATGGCTAGTGATCCAATTTACTTTCGACAATCAAAATATTGGTGATATCTTATGGCTGTTAATTTCTTAAATGTTAATCGATGCTATACAGCACACTTGGGGTAAGACACGGCAGATTTACATCACCCTTTAAACACAAATATGGAGACCCGGTGAGCCGTCCGCACGTCACCGTCGACACGACACTGAGAATGCATATGAACTATCTTGATATTTGTAATGTTCTTTTACTGCCGGAAAATGGAAAATCTTGGAGATGTCAGTGACGAGCATGGGGAAAGGTTCCATCAGGACATCGCCGTGATGGAGAGCAGATATCAGGGCAAGTCTGGTCCCAATATGATGGGTGATTACTGCTGGACACTGCAGAGAGAGGAACGTCAGCAGGGGAGGAGACAAAGCAAGAATCAGAAGCGATTCTAACAAGAAGAGTTGCTGAGCGAAAGGAAGATGCCAAAGTGTTTGAAATGACCAAAAATCTTGCCTGTGTGGTCGAGAGGTAGCACAGATGGATGACCATACCGTTGGTTGATTGCACTTTGCCGTGATTGTACAATATGTGATTACCTACATTGCGCTGTGATGTGTGATATACATTTCTGTTCCAACAAATTCAATAGTTTTGTGCTCATCTGTGTTGCCTGGCTGTGGTAAATATGGATTAAAAAGATAGATAATCAAGATCTAAGGATATCTACAATAGGCCAACAACAATGCATAAAAAGTGGGAATTTAACCCGCGCCCTGGTGGGGTCTGTTTATAACGCGACCTGGTGGGGGGGGGCTATTTTTTGCCCCCCCTCGTATCTCCGAAACTACTGGACGGATCCGCAAAATTCAAACGGCGTTCGAAAGGCCTGTCAAATTTGTCGAGGAAAACCAAATTTCATTGACCTCGGGGTCACCGATGACGTCACAGGTCAGGTCAAAGATGAAATGTTTCACCGTTCACGGGTCTTCTAGGGAATGCGCTATAACACCGAGGAAAACGCATTTTGTCGAGAATCAGCGATAGGGCGTCAGTTGCCTAGTAGATATATTACTATTAGAGGTCACTGACAATACCAGGTCAGGTCACAGGTCAGGTCACCAAGGGTCACAGGTCAGGTCACATGAGCCCAACTTTACTAAGGTTGTGTGATGCATGTTTTATGGCCAATTTTTCATTTCCAACTCAATGGTATTGGTTATAAGACTATCAGGTACGGCTTAGGTCACTTTCTGGTGAAGTTCAGGTCAAGGTCAGGTCAAGGTCAGGCCAAAAAAGGTCAAATTTTAAAGTTGATAGTTTTGCATAAAATGGGTATTGATTCGATGCAGCTCGTCACGGGGAGTCTAATGGTGGTCTTTTTTTTGCGCTACGGGGTCTAGAATTGCTAAAAATTGAGTTTGAAAATTTGACGTCATCAATTTTGAACAGCTTTTTCGCTATAACTTCGCCAAAAAAAGAGGTATCGATCTCAAATTTGGTATGTGGATGGAAGGCGGTATGGACTATCACATATATTCCGGTTTTTGCGAAATTCAAAAAACTTTTTGGATTTTCTGATTATTATATGCAAAAAAATTATTTTTTGATTTTTGGGTGTCAAAATCCAAAATTTTCAAAAATCCGAGATAGCAGTTTTGTAGCCCTGTTGATTCTACAGCTTTTATGTCTTTATCATTTTTCTGTATTTGCAAAGCTATAGGCCTGACAGCTCTTCCCGCGAAACCCTTTTTTAGGTCGAAAACGGCAGAACATGACGTCACTCTGACGTCATTTCCGGCCAACCTATCATAGCCTTTGGAAAAATTTTTGGTCACAATGTGTAAAATTGATGTCCGGGAGGGTACTGAAAGTTTGGTGACGATCAGCGCAGCGGTTCTGGAGATATATCAAAAAGTCTAGAGGGGGGGGCAAAAAATAGCCCCCCCCCCCCACAGGGCGCGGGTTAAGGCATCAGTATGTGCCAGA